CCTGATGGAAGAATACGACAACCACTACGGTCCAGGAGGAGACTCACATTCTCTATAGTGACGGACGTGTAGTTACTGCGCCATCCGCTCCCCGTAGGGTCGCGGATCAACACCTTGGTCCGTCGCGCCGCCCATCGGGGCGGGATGAGACGTGACCACTTGCTGATCAAGCCATAGCATGGTATGATCAGCGGACAGACGCACGGCATGGAGCTATCCCTGATACCGTCTGTCGTGTCAGCAGGGCTCACTCAGAGGAAAAGGAAGACCCGACACCTTCGAAGGACCTTTTCTGCCTCTGATTTTCTCCTTTCTCCCATTTGTAATCCCTGCTTTTCTTTAGTCTATAAAAGGGAAGACATGACACCCCACTAAAAGGACGGATGAATAGAACACACCACGCATCACATAACACACAGCTGAGCAGCAACAAAGCTCTTAGCGTCCTTTCAACCTTTCCATCAGAGATTTGGGACCTGTCCCCCTCTCTTCCGTTTATAACCCCTACTACGAATCTTTCGGTGCTAATAACACGAGCAACAGCCGCAAACTGGACGTAAGGACATTATGCCCGAACTAGTATAAACCTTGCGTGTTTCAGCACATCATCCGGGTTCAACGCGCAATAATATAAATTTTTTTGTTGGTGTTTACTCGAAACACCGACAAAAATATATTAGTATTTATAGATATTTGAATCTATTTTCATAACACGCTTATTTGGAGTTAGGAATATTGCTAATATTTCCTATAAACCTAGTCAAATTTAAAAAAAAAATTGGCCGACACAAAAAAGCATATATATCAACATTATTTTAGGACGGAGGGAGTAGCATGGTGGTTTTTTGCGACACTTTTTTTTTTGAAAATCGCTTGTATGCCACGACGGAGAAAGTAATATATATTTTAATCATTTCATTGTATTACAAACATTAATTTAATGAGTCCTTGTCGTATTTTTTTTCCATGTGCCTGGCGGCCCTGCGTGATGTGCCAGCAGCCTGCAGCCACGCGCTGGTTTTCCATGTGGTGAGATAGGATGCATGGTTCCACGGTCCACCCAGCGCCGACCCCCAGTTCCATTCTGACGTCCACTCGTTCCTATCCCAGCGAACGATTGAGTTTTCCGTGATTTCCTATTTTTAGTATAAAAAAAATTCCGCAAGTTTCTTTTCTTTTGGAAAGTTTACCTTTTCCGAGGCAAACACCCCACTTATATATGTTTCAAAGTATTTTTTTTCTAATAGCAAATTATGTGTACTAACTTATAACTTATATATAATGTATATACAAGTTATATAGAATAACTTATCATAATAACTTATGTACACAAATTGTCTAGAATAACTTGTGTACACAAGTTGTGTTTGATAATTTTTTATATAAATTGTGTTTCATAATTTTTTTTATAAGTTAATTCGTTCCTTTGTGTGTTAATAACTTTTGTGTTTGTAAGTTTTGGCATAAGTTATAGGTTAATTTATTTCTTTGTGTTTAATAACTTTTTTTAAATAAGTTGTGTTTCATAACTCTTATGTTTTTAAGTTTTCTGCATAAGTTATAGATATAAGTTATATGTTCTAAGTTATATGTTATATGTTAGTACACATAAGTTGTACTAGAATAAAATTCTTCAAATCATATGCAACTGAGGTCTAGTTTTGTTCGTCTCATCGCGTAGAACACACCGGTATAAATGAAATTTAAAATAGATACACCGTTCAGAAGTTATAGCAATTTAAAATAAAATATTTTATTTTTTTAAGACTAGGTCACCGCTGATGTCACCCAAGGGGTGCTTGCATGCTATGGCTGTTGCGTTGATGATTACTTTCCAAATATGGGTAAGAGGTGAAATTTTTTCCATAAAAAAATATTATTGTTGTCCGAAAATCATTCGCTGGATTTCCACTGCGTGAACGTTCGCTCGTTAGTGGGATCCGCGCCGACCCCACCGGTGTGAGTGAGATAGGATGCATGGTTCTACCTTCCCCGCTTTGAGTGGTCTGGATTGTACAGTATAGGATGCATGTCAGAGTGCAAAGGATGAAGATCCGGTTAGAGTGCAGGAGGTCAGGCCGACCTCACCAGCGCGAGTGAGATAGGATGCATGTTTACGCAGAATAAGCTTGTGTTTGCAGATGTCTAAAACCGCTAACACCGCGTGCTAGGCTACCAGCAGACAGAGACGATGAACACCGTGCTTAAATTAGTTGTATGTATTAGTATGTACATGATGATTATTGCAGTAACTTATTAGTTTAGGCATCTTCCTTCCGTGGAAGTGGAGCGGTCGCCGTCCTGTCAGGATTGTTGTGCCAATTTCGCTACTAAAGACACGCCATGGGCCCTTTTAGTTTTCTGCAGTGCTCTCCTGTAAAAAAACTAGGACCACTAGCGTCCGGACGTCTGGCCTAAGGCCCGTGTTTGAACGTCTACGCTCACATAAAAAAATAGCATGCCCCGACTACGCCTAGGCGAGGACTGCTCGCGTCCCCTCCACTTCTCACGCGTATTGCAATATGTGCAACAAGCGATCTATTTTTAAAACTTCCAGACGCAACACTTGCACCATACATCTAAGGATAATGAAACATGCTTCTAAAACACTTTCAAAAAATATATGAAAAACACTTGAAAACCATTATAAACATACGCAATATCCAGATAAAACACTTGCAATATATGTGTGAAACATATGCAACATTTAGATAAACACACTTGCAACAATACGTCCAAAAACACAAATGAAACGTTGAGAACAGACCTTTGCAACATACGTGTACAACAATTGTAACATTCTCATCTACTTTTGCAGCATTCATGTGAAACAATTGCAACATACCTCTGAAACATTCAAACATCCGAAACACTTAAAGCATACGCTTGCAACATGCGCTTTCAGCACATCGCAACATCCTCCTTGCTGCTTGCGAAATGGAGACTCGACAGCGTGTGGAGTTCACTGGAGGCAGCCGCGCCGTCGCCACCATCGACCAGATGGACTCTGCTTACTACGAGGCTGGCGGGGACCCCTTCATGGCTGTTGGTATTGTGGGCTCGACACGCAGCCCCTACAGCCAGCACCGCACTCCTCACCACCATCGAATCTCTTGCCGTGCAGTGGATCTGGTGGAAGCAGCAGCAAGGTAGGGTGAGGTGGAGGCACGCGGCGCGTGATGCGGGCAAGCGGCCACCCCGCCGAGGGGCTGCGCTGCACGGCTGGGGCACCGCCAGGCGGGCGTCATGCGAGTCTGCAGTGGCCGCTTTTGGGCCACGTCGGAGAGAGAGAGAGAGAGAGAGAATCAATGGGCGGAGACGCTGGCGGTCGCGAGCCGATGGCGTCGACTAGCGGGGTGGGAGCGACGGTGTAATGCCGCCGGCGGCGGTGGCGGGGGGTACGGTGCTTAGTGCGTGTCGATGGTTTCTTTTTTTTGGCGATGTGGGCGAGTGGCGTGAGTGGTGCCGCGCGAGCAGCACGACCAGGTTGGTTCGTCTGGCCGGCCGGACCCTCGATCTAATCATTATCGATAGAAAATTGTCCCAACCCAATTGAAATTAGTATCCTAGTACTAGTTCCTTAAGTGAGAACCAAAATAAGAAAGTCTATAATTTCTGTCATCATAGGACAAATAAAACACACACGTAATCTGTGATTTGATTGAGATGTGTCGACGAACCCTGAACCTTATCCCGTGCGTGTCGTGCGTGGACCTGAACGGCTGAACCATCTGGGTAGTCCATGCATTTTCCGCAGCTGCAGGCATCGTCTTCTCATCGTCACCGTAATATTGACGAAAGCATATGCCAGTTTGCAGCTGCGGCTGGCTCGAGGACATCTTAAGCTCTAAGGCAGCTTCATCTCTAATCATTAATTTCAATCATGTCGTCGCTAAGCAATATGTGTTTATGTATTCAGGCTAATCGAGATCCTACGAGATCGAGTGGAATTACTCCTCGAGTCAGCTTAGGCGAGGAAAGAAAGGACGTCGGGAGAGGGAAGAATGGTTCGCTGGACGTGAGCTCCGACCCAAACGAGCAGGACGGACCTGCGTGCTGAAATCTTCCTGTTCTCGCGCGCGTACGACCGGAAGCAATGAGAAACGTGTGTAGACAGACGATGTCCCGGTAACGTAACGTGTGCATCTTGGTAAAATGAAAACGCGCGCACGCGGTCGTGCGACACGAGACACGACCCCGAGGTGTCGCCGTTGTTTAGTCGACACAATGTGCTGCCTGGCTTTGAAATCAACATCCGAGCTACGGAGTACTATTTGGGGCTGACTGTCAATCGGCAACCGCGGCTACGTGTTCGCGCGCACACGCACCGCTTGTTTCTGGTATCAATCACCAACAGCAACAGACACCCTGTTCGCTGGTCAATCGTACTAGTCTCGTAGATAGACATGACTGCAGAGATTTTCGCAGAACTGCTCCGTTCACGTGCCCTTTAAACTCGGTTAGATTCGCTTTTTTTTATCCGAAATAGTGTTTTTCATCCGGTAAACGAATAAATGTTTTTCTAAATTCAGCGTAAACCAAATTTCTGCGAAACGAACGGAGCTCAGCGAAGCCGATTTCACCATTTTCCTTCTGTTTATTGATCAAAGAATGGCGGTACAAATTGCATGCTTGCAATGTGCAAACATCGTCACCAGTTCACCACAGGTAAAAAGATGTGCAGCTGCATCATGCGTGAGAACACCCGCCCCAGGTCCCTAGTAGTACAACAACATGCAGTGCCTCCTCCCGCACCAGCCCCATTTTTTTCTTCTTTTTTCCTACTAAAAAAATAATGTTGTCCCCAACCAATCCGGCGCGGCGCCTAACCAAGTCCCCCACGCTAATAAATCCTTCGCCTTATTCATCGGCCCGTCCTTCCCCCCCTCGCTTACAGGTGGGCCCCACCACAGAATCGGCATCTCCAGCTGGTGGCCCTGTGGCATATTCACATCGGACACCCACCCCGTCGTTGGCCGTTGCCGTGCCGTTCCGTTCCACTAGCCCGTGTGAGCGAGGGGAACGGCACGCCGCCGGCGCCGCTGCCGCTGCCGCTGCTGCTGCGACGCGTGCTCGCGCCGCCACCCGACGACGACCTGGTCCGCCTCCGCCTCCGCGGCCGCCCCGTCGCGGCGGCAGCCGCCTTCATCGGCGCTGCAGGCGGCGGCCCACCACGGCTCGCCGCCGCTGGCCGTGCTGGCGCCCCACAGCCTGACAGCGGCGGGGAACGCTCCTCCTCCGCTTGCGGTGGCCCCGCCGACACCTCCGATACCCGAGGCGCAGCCGGAGATGCGGCGCGGAAGGCCCTGCCAGGTCCGGACCACGGCGCCGCCCCAGGGGAAGACGCCGTCCGCGGCGCCCTCGTAGAACCCGATCCGCTTCAGGTCCTCCTCCTCGTCGCCGGAGGAGCTGGCGTCCGCCTCGTCGTCGGAGCTCTCGTCTTGGTCGCCATCCTCGTCGTCGTCGTCTTCGTCGCAGGACGAGTAGTAGGTCCCGATGTGCGACTGGATGACCTCCTTCCCGCGGGAGCGGAGGCGCAGCACGATGACCTGCAGGCGGCGCAGCAGGCTGGGCAGCGTGGCCAGCGCCGCCAGCGCCACGGCCAGCGGCGCCCACATCTCCGCCAGCAGCGACGCGGCCATCGCCGGCGCCCGCGAGAACCGCCCCACCCCGGCCTCCAGCATCGCCGCGGCCGCCGTCTCCATCCCTTCGCCGCCCGCCGCCGAGACCAGACCAACAAACAAAAGAATTTTTAAAAAAGAACAATCGCGTCGCTCGTGTGAAGCAAGAGGACGGATGCGATGCGAGGAAATGGGGATGGAAGCGAGCGAGGCGACGGCGTCGCTTTAAGGCCACACACGGGGCTAGGCGGGCGTTTCAAAATTCCCGTTATGCCCACCGTGGGGGCACGGTGTCAGTGACCCAAGGCTCGGGGTTCCAGATGAAAAGGTTGCAGGCAGCGGAGCCAGTAGGCGCGGGTGGGACGGAACAGCAGCTGCAGCAGCAGCGTCGTTTCGCCAGCAGCCGCAGCGTACCCACGGTGAAAGCGTGAGCCGGCGGGTACGAGAAAGCGCGCGTTGGAGGTGCATGGCATGTGGGTCCGACGAAACACTTGGGCCCACGCATGCCTGTTTGGGTATGAAACGGAGCTGGTGCGCTGGGCCCGGACGGCGACAGAGATGGCGTCTCGGGGCAAGCGACGCGCTGGGCGCGGTGACTCAGCAGCAGCCCCGAGGGCACGTGAGACGGCGAGGCTGACGGGTGGGACCCGGAGGCGCACTGGCGCTTGCACGGCGGTTACGCCGCCGCGTGGGCCCCGCCCGGCGGAGGTTGGATGGAGGCTCGGAGCTACAGTACGCGGGTGAGTCATCGTCGCGTGGGGACGGACGGCCGTGGGGGGCGGTCAGCCTGGATCCTGCGGTGGAGACGCACCGGGCGTCCGCGACCGCCCGGTGCTCAGCCTCTGACACGTCGGATCCCTTGTCGCCTCGTCACGTCTCTCTGCAATGGGTGGAGGGCCTGTGTTTTACGGTTGATTTTATTTGCTTCGATTTTCGTTTGATTTCCACTGGTTAGTAGAGTGGCTTTATCCGAACAACAGCCACGTTGGACGACTTGTTGGTTAGATAGCCTCGGATGGAAGGAGTACTGCGTAAATTCGATACTACTTCTGCTTCCAGAAAAAGAACGACTTTTATTTTGCTTTTGCGTTCGACGTGGATGTGAAGTTAAACGTGTTTTGTTTCAACCGAGTCCTCTAGTTTGATTACACGACCTCTAGACAATGTGATCCATTGAGATATAAGGAGAAGCTTTGAATTTGTTCTTTAATTTTCACAATATCTCCAAAATGATCTGGGCAAACTAATTGATTGTGTGGTAGCAATGCAAGAGCTTGGTGACAACAAAGCCTACGTGTCGTACTAGTGGCAGACGAACAGGGCCCGTAGGTGGGTCCGTGGGTGGAAGAGGGGAGGATTCATCTTCAACCTCCAGGTCTAATTTGGACTCTTGATCCTAGAATTACATGGCTTATTCAAATGACATTTCCATAGACTCTAGACCCTAGAAAAGGTCCAGGGTCTCACGGTAGTTTAAGTTTCCAAAGTAGCCCTCAATAAGGAGTAGCACCTCTAGCCTTTTCTTCCTCTCTTTCATTTATCAAAGTTCCATGGGGCTCAAGGGGGCTTCATAGACTACAGATCGTAGGAGGAGCTTGAGCCCCTTGTTGCTCCATTAAATCCGTCCTGGTGTCGTAGGCACAATGTACATTTTTTTTCTAATTTAATGTTGTACCGTTAAATTTTAGTTCAGCATGAAGAAATATGTGTTATTGCTTGCGGAGTTATGATTGACTATCTTGCCTGCATATTAATTGTATGATCATATCATGCAAGCAAATCCATAAAACAAGTTGTGGCCATACATAAATATATATATAGGGAAAGCTGAGACATTGCTATGCTTCTCCATTTCTTTCCTTCTCTGTTTGTACAAAACCATGAAAGTCAAGATTGCTTGTCGCGTAAAGCAAGCCTCAGCTCATTGTCAGGTGTTTTTATTTACAAAATCACAAGAAGATGTTATAAAGGGAGGGAAATGAACAATGGGCACCATAAAATTTGCATCCATGGTTCTCTTACTGCTTTTGCCTCTTGAAGTGTAAGCTGTAACTCAACTTATCTGACCACGGGATGTGTATCAAATGGAACTAATAAGAATGTCTACTTCATTGTATATATGTATAGTAATTCTTAATGGAATGAATAATAAGGGGGTGTTTGGGACTGCTTCGCTCTACATTTTTCAGCTCCGCTCTACGTTTTTTAGCCAAATGGTTTCAGCTCTACGCACTCTGTTCGAGTAAAAAGTGTGGAGTTGTGAGAGCACCTAAAGAGGTGCTCCACAAACTCCAGCTTTTTGTGGAGCTGCTCCACGGTAGAGTTTACGGAGCAGTCCCAAACACCCCATACGAAGTATGGTTATACCTACTTTTGTGAAGGATGCCGATGTGTTTCAGCGCATTTGTGTGGGACATTATGGATGTAACGTTTTCTCCGTGCTCTCCTGAAAGACTAAGAGACTTAGGCTCATTTTTAGGTAGTGAGTTGGAATTTAAGCTTGAAATCTTAAATAAAGGTAATCGTTTTATATGAATGACTAATAGTATATTTAACACATATTACCTTTGTAAAATAGAGGACTTATGAGTTCGCTCTAAGTCAGACTACTTTAAGTTAAATCAAATTTATAGAGAAGAATGAGAACATCTACAACATCAAAAGTGTAAAATATGAAAATATATTTCAAAAGAAATAATGATATAAATATTAGTTTTCTTTTTAAAAGCTTATTCTCACTTAGAAAAGTTTAACTTAGAACATATTTGAAAGTCAATACATTTGGATGTAGACAATATATTGAATATTTGTTTGAGAAATTTTACGATGGTTGAAAAAAATATGGACCATCCATAAGGCGAGATTGGACGATGCAAACATAAGAAGTACCTATGTGAAAGTACTCAGTACTCAGTACTACTAAAATGGTGGGAAGGTACCAATACCAAAATGGTAGACCAGTTTTAGAATTTTTGTTTTATTTTATTTTTTGGGTCAAGTGTAAATATGTAATTTCCATCCATCCACCCCGCTGACAGTGGCCCCCGGATGGCTCCCTCGACATCCACCTCGCCGCAACACTGGCACCCACAGATGATACCCTAGATGGGTCCCCCACCCCCGACGCTCCCTGCTGCCAGTGCGCATGATTCGACGGCTATAGCGTTGCGTCTGCGTTTGGCCCAAACGGAACTAGCCCCAGGGTGAAAGCGTGTGATCCCTAACGTGAGACGGCTAAAAGGTCAATTACCATTATGCCCTAAATAACAATAATTAATTTATATAAATAATCTTCCACAATTAAATGGCCAAAATATAGAAAAAACAAAAAAACCTAGAAGTACCATGCACTACTAGGAATATCCACTTCTACGACGATCAGTTTTCGTCACTAAAGGAGCCAAATTCGTCATAATTTTAATTTTATGATGAATTTATGACGAAAACCGGTTCGTCATAGAAGTCGCGTCATACTTGAACTTTTGTGATGATTTTCGCAAATCGTCATAGAAGTGGCTTGATCTGTGGCGAAAACAGAACGTCATAGAACTATTTTGCCATGCGTGGCAGGGGGGCTGCCACGCTGGTTGGTGCTTTCATTGGAGATGCTTTCCACGTGTACATGCTATAGACGGTTGCATTGGAGATGGTTCGGGTACGTGTCACCTTCTTATTACACAACGCGGCCATCTCTGGTTCTTGCACGTTTTCGATTCTTACTGGACCACGTGTCGGTTCCTTGTTTCACATGTTAGTTTTCTACAGGCACCCGTGTCGTGTTGTAGTTAGATCACGTGTCACTTAGCCTGTTCGCTTGTTAGTTTCAGCCAGCCCAAACCAGCCAGCCAACAGTGTTTTCCTCTCACAAAAAACCAGCACCAGCCAGCCCAAACCAGCACCAGCACCAACCAGCGAACATGCCCTATTAGTTCACGTGTCCGTTTCCTATTACTTCTTCATTGGACCTCGTGTCGTATTTTTATTGGTCCACGTGTCCGTTTCTTATTTTACCACGCGTCGCGATGTTGTCTGTCCACGTGTCGTATTTTTATATGTCCATGTGGCTTGATAATTTCCTTCCACGTGTCGGATTTTTAATAGCCCACATGTCGTGCCCTGGCCAATTCACGTGTTGCATTTTTATTTGATCACGTGGCCTGTCCTAGTTCTACCGCGTGCAGGGCTAATTACATCAGAAAAAGTAATTTGACGTCACTACTGCATAGATTGACAACATAATTATTCAAGCTGACAATCAAATACCAATAATTAACATTTCTCAAGTTAGCAGTAAGCCACTAACACAGTTTCACCACAACAAACCATCACATGAGTCCACACAACAGACCACAAATGTTCACCATATCAAGCCGCAGGAGTTGAAGACTGAGAGTTAATTATTAGGAGAGCTTAAGCGCATGACTTGCTCACAAAGCCTATTGTACTCCTCATGTTGTCGTTTCTTGAATTTCTCAAACTCCCTTTCAGACTCTTCTGTCTTCCTCTTCAGTTCATCCACTAGTTCGACGAGGGTAGCGGTACTTTCCTGTTCACCCGCAAGCTGCTCCCGAAGTGTCATCTCCGCCAATGTCTCTACTATGGTGGAGCTTCTCAGGATACCGGCATTCTTCAAAAAAAGGGTTTTCCTACTTGCCTGGGTGGGGGACTTGCCTTGGTAGAGGCAGAGGACCTTGGAAACAACATCAACACTAGTAATTGGTTACTGCCCATTAGCAACAGGTTTTACTTGCATAACTTCCATAGGTTTTTGCGAAATTCAATCAGTAAAACATTAGATTACAGATAGTGGAAGATGACTTAAATTGAAAACCCAAGAGATTAATTCATAACAAGTAATGCATACGACTTCCTTAGCCTACTGCTGATAGAGATTACATAAGCACAATGCATAGGTCTTTTGCAGCCTACTACCGATAGAGATTATATAAACACAATGTACGGATACCATATTGATTGGTGTAAAATTGTAACTATAAAATTAAATGATGTTGTCACATTAGGCTCCTGCTACGTTTTCTTTTTTTATGGCAATGGGTTTAGTACATTTCAAGGAAAGCAAATGA